TGCCGAGGTGTGCACGGAAAGAGTATCGATTTGTACTTCTGAATGATGTTATGTAGTCTGTACGAGAATTTATCGATCTTTTATCGACGCACTGATTCTTTGATTCGGATGTTATCAAAATTGTACGAGAATATAACGATGCTTGCCGTAGTATGCAGGGTAACTTGAACGAGATTTTATCGATACTTAAACGACGCGCATACGGAGAGGAGAGCCAACGATCCTTGCTGAGACGTTATGTAATCTGTACGAGAATTTATTGAACTTAAACAATCATTGGACCATAAGTATACAAATTAAAAATATATCGCTTACTGGGCAAAGCTTAACAACGACTGCGAGTTATATTTTATCACTAATATATTTGCTTGATATAATCATGATTACGACGAACAAAATTTGCAATCTGTTCGCGTTAGTTTTCCTTTGATAAATGTTATTTCAAAGTCAGACTACATCATGAGCTTTGAGCTGTGCGCGCATCATGCCTCACTAGTTCTTTGATTGTTCTTTGTTTCCTTAATTATATAAAACTGCATCATAATCAACTGAATAAAAAAGCGTGGAAAAGTTGACAATATATTTTAAACTTATAGATTATATTGAAACTCCCCCAGCAGCAGGTAGGGGGAACCGCGGTCACCCCCCGGAATTACATGGGTATTACCCGCACTCACGTACGTGCGTCGGCCGCGGGTATTACCCGTAAGGTCGCTATGTGTCTGTGTAATTCGATTCGAAAAAGCTCTCTGCGGGTTTTACTGGTGCCCCGCAGTTTTAAGTTAAGATATTTGTGTCGCAAACGAAGGTTATAAGAGTATATTTTTGCCCATTGTTTCGGCAACCATTTTCGGCTACCTTTTCTACCCCCACACGGGCTTTCCTGGCCTTTCCTTTCATTTTGCACGATAGAGTATTCTTTTTGTGTCCTCTGCGCTGGGAACAAGCCCCAGAAATGTCCGTCCCCATTTCCAAGGGATGCGAACCACCGCTCTTGGTAGCAAGGGAGCATCGAACCAGTGCTCCCTACTAGATATATGGAAGAAGAGAGAATTTTGAATTGCTATAGAGAGTTTTTCGAATGGATATCCTACGACTACTATGTTCGCAACTACAGAAAAGTATACTCGTTGCCGCTACCTACGCCGCGGTAGTTGTTCCAAAGTGGCTACGTAGCCTGGTATGCGAACTCCCTGCAAAGTCTTTTGTGCTCTGTAGAGACCTTCCAAGATCTCCAAAAGTATTTGCGTTGTTCTTTGTTTTCCTAGCATGTATGCGACTATGCCCGTAGCTATGTAGAGATACATCTATATACCTATGGATCCACGGAATACCCCTATGGATCCATAGCTATCTAGCTACGAGATACTYTATGTCCGTAGATATATATGGCAACACCCAAAATACTATCCGAGGAAGAAATCGCAGGATTGTTGGAAGATCGAAAGAACGGTATGGGGCTGCAGAAGGTAGCCAAGAAGTACGGCATAGGAATACCAAAGATACGCAGGATAGAGCGAGAGAACGGCGTGGAGGTAGCAATTCCCGAAAAGCCACCAACTACAGACCTACAGAAACATTTCCTAGAGGTGCAGGATTCCTTTGCTATAGTCCTCGACGACTTGCAAAAAGCCAGGGAAGAACTACAGAACGCAAAGGAGGAACTACTAGCCAGGATGGACAAAGAAGAGTAAGACTCGTTCGAAGAAATAGGGGAAAAGGACCTAGAAGAAATAGAGAACGAAGTAGAGGAAGTATCCACGAAAATAGACTGGCAAATAGCTAGCAATGTTCTATTTGCAGTCGTAGGCATAGCTGCCGTCGTTTGGGCGCGAAGCAGGCCACCCAAAGTAGTCTACTATGCGCGCCCAGAAACGCCCAAACCGAAGTCTAGGATTCCGGAGATGGAGTAGAAATGGTGTCGATCTGGTAGACACCCTTTACGGGCCTAGGATTCCGGAGTAGAGACGTGCACCAGCCTGTCTTTCTTCTTTGCCTTTGTAGTCTTTTCTCTACCAATTTTGCAGTACAAAGGCGTCTGCTGCGTGCAGTCTATGTTTTGCTCGTTCAGAAAGTGCCCCCAGACCGGCGTAGTGGTATATTCTACCGTGCAGCCCTCCAAAACGCACTCGGGGCATTTCTCCGAGAGAAATAGAATTGTTCTTTCTTTTTTTCTGTAGGTGGTTTTGGCGTACTTCCAGCACTGGTACTCTCCTTCCTGAATGTGCAGCGCCTGCACGCATTCTTTGTTGGGTGGCGCCGGCACTTCTATGCCAGCTATGCGCCCCGTTGTTGCGTGGCAGTACCACGCCAGGAAAATCTCTTTCGTTTCTTCGCAGCAAATACACAAACATCTGTCCAAGTTCTCCGCAAGCGCCAACCACATATTTTTGGGGGGTTGTACTACGAATATGTCTGCTAGTGGCTCTATGGTCTCCGCAATAGCATCCGTGTTTCCTTTGGAGAAATCCCTGCCATAGATGGATATTTCCACTCTGCTGCATCCTCTTCTTTGCACGTCTGGGTGCAGGAATGTTCTACGCAGGTGGTCGTTCGGACAATCCACGTACTCTGCCAACTTTGCTCCTACTGGGTTTTGCACTTCTCCGGCTTCGAAGTTGGATACTATTTTGTTGTATATTTTTGTACGTTTCCCGTCTTCCATCCAAGTGCAAACATGCCCGCCTACTTGGTGTGTATTGTCCAAAATAGTACCTTTGCGTCCGCCCAGTTCTCCTTGCATTTCGTAGCCCAGCTGTAGCAATCTGCGTACCAAAGCTTTTCTATCCAAAGTACCAGAGAAATCCTGTGTGTAGTCCACGGAATAGATACCATATCCGTGTGCATCCAGTAGAGTAGCAAACTTGGGTATCTTTTGCTCTACGGTTTCTATGGACAATTCCGAGGTGTCTACTTTGGCTACGAAAACCGCTGCAGGTTCTCCGTGCAAACTATACCATTTGCCTACCATATTGGAAACGCTATCTACTATTTTTCCTTTTCTGCAGCTGCGTACTATTTGCACGTGTAGGAAAGTACCAAATGCTTCTTGCGCCGCAGTGAATATCTTGGAAACCAACGTCTTTGCGTTTCTGCATATGCATCCATACATGTCGTTCTCTGCGACAAATCCATAGACAAACACATCGTCTACAAACGGTGGTAGCCCGGATAGCGGTTGCAGGCTGGTAGTACCTTCGTTTCCGCGCAAATAGTCGCAGCTGGATATGTCGGGCAGTCGATTCCCGTCGTATGCATTGTCCAGCAGCAAATGTGCTAGCACCCTATTCTTCGCACGTATGCCCATCTCTTGCAAGGTTGCCGAAATACTCTTTTGCTCTTCCATGTATATATAGAGGGCAGAAGGTTTTTGGCTACTAGCAAGGGGAACAACTCGTTCCTCTCTATCCACGTCGGCGTTTCTCCATGCAAAGGTAGCGGTGTCTTGCCGCTCCCTTGCTACCAAGAGCGGTGGTTCGCATCCCTTGGAAATGGGGACGGACATTTCTGGGGCTTGTTCCCAGCGCAGAGGACACAAAAAGAATACTCTATCGTGCAAAATGTGTCTACCAGGAAAGCCCGTGTGGGGGTAGAAAAGGTAGCCGAAAATGGTTGCCGAAAAAAGGGGAAAAAATATACTCTTATAAATGTCGTGAAGGCGAAGTCGGCATACAAACGATCCAATACCTGGGTTCGCAGCTTGCGTACGGTTTTGTTTTGAATGCGCGCGATGTTGTCCATCTATATCTAGGAAATACTTTAACCTTCGTTTGCGACACAAATATCTTAACTTAAAACTGCGGGGCACCAGTAAAACCCGCAGACAGCTTTTCGAATCGAATTACACAGACACATAGCGACCTTACGGGTAATACCCGCGGCCGACGCACGTACGTGAGGGCGGGTAATACCCATGTAATTCCGGGGGGTGACCGCGGTTCCCCCTACCTGCTGCTCCCCCTTCTCCTCCTCCTGCTCCTTCTCCTCCTGCTCCTTCTCCTCCTCCTCTTCCTCCTCCTCCTCCTCCTTCTCCTCCTTCTTTTCCTTCTCCCCCGTAATATAATGTGCCAAACCTAATACATGAACCATGATGACTTGAGCCCTTCCCTTTCATACCTGAAAATAGATGAACGCGGTAAGGACTCTGCCTGTTGTTGAACCAAAGTCCTTACCAAACAAACTCAGTTGTATTAAATTCGAGTTGAGCGGCGTTTAGAATGGGTCTATTTTTTAAAAAAGGTATAATTGTCCCTGCATTCAGTATTCGTCTAATTGTTTCTCATTCCACAAGCACATTCCCTATTTCAATACAAGTTGCACATTGTTATACACTAAGTTGACTAAGATACGATAATTGAGAGGTTCACTAGCTAATGTCGCGGAACAAAGTCTAAAATCCGAGGCCACAAATAAAATATAGCTATAATTAATTTGTTAGTATAGTGCTGATATACATAGGGGGAAATCCGTCCGATTTCGCGACGGATTTCAATTTCTGCCTTTTGCCTTTTTACCAATTTTTGCATGTTGAGTTTCTTAGTGCTGTTCTTTGTCTATGCACGCGGAGCCAATCCGACGAGTTTTAGCCTTTATTCGGGCCCACCAATACTATTAAAATCATTATAGATATTCTTACGATATACGATTCCACATACATTCCTTTGTAGTAAGAGTAATCATGCAAGAAATAAGAATTGAAATGTGATCATTATGCCTTGCTTTCAGTATTCTTCAACATTTGATTGTGACATCTTTACCCATGAGAAAGAATGGTGCCCAGTACTTTGGTTCGCTGTAGCCGGAAGAGTTCCTAATTTCATTCATCGCTTGATGTAAACTTACACTCGAACTCTTTCCGTCCATTAAGCGAGTATAGAATTTAAACATGAACTCGAATGTTGCATCGTCATCGATGGCCCACAGAGACGCTACCACTGCACGAGCACCTGACGCTAGAAAGGCTCGACACATGCTAACTACTCCTTCAGCTCTGATTTCACCGCGTCCAGTGTGACAACAGCTTAACACAACTAACTGTGCACGTACTTGAGCCTGCTGTACTTCAGCCATGGTCAGCATGTAATCTTCTTCATCTGGGATCTTTGTTGCACTTACCTCAGGAGAAGGTGCAAGTGCTATCGTACCTTTAGTGAGACTGCCGTGTGCAGCGATATGAACGACAGCTACTCCTTCATTTAGTCTCTGGATAACAGCTTGTTTCGTTGCCTTCTCTCCTGTCAAAGGCNACCAAACGTTATTTTTATGCTGAATTAAATTGACTAGCGGATCGCGCTTAAAAGATTATGTGTTAAAAAAGAAAAGGGTATCGTCTATTTCGTTTGAGACTGCCGTGTGCAGCGATATGAACGACAGCTACTCCTTCATTTAGTCTCTGGATAACAGCTTGTTTCGTTGCCTTCTCTCCTGTCAAAGGCGTCGCCTTGCATACATTGCCTACTGCGATCACTTCAGCAAACGCATTATCCAAAGGATCGAACTCTGTCTCTTCCCCATCGAACATGACTTTACCAACAAGAGGATTTCCAACGATTACGGCGCCATTCTTGGAATAATAATCTTCTGTACGTCCGTGCAATGCCTTTAAAGTTGCTAATGAAGGAATAAGTCTGATACGTTTGTCTTCTGAAAGATACCGACCAGTATCTGGGTCGCGCAGGGCAGCAAATGGTACTTTGTATAAGGAACCATCAGGAATAATCAAAATTTCGTCTTCCTGTCCAAAGTATTTTATATGGTTAGTGACAGCATGAGTACCATCTTGCTTGAAAGAGTGTATTGCATCGTAGCTTAGTAGTGATTTATGTAACCATTCCAAAGCACTTCCCTTAATGCTTTCTTCGCTTTTCTGAGGTTTTTCATCGTCAGGAGATCGTTTTTTCCCTGGTAAGTGAGACTTTTCGAATTCTTCAGCTAGACTCTTAATCTCTTCAGGATCACGTACAGCCACTTCATACGGCGGCCTGTCCAGGGATCTATTTTCGCAGTTGTCGGGGACATGATCCCAAATTTCGATCTCATTCAAGGCTTTATCAATAAGCATTTCAAAAGTAACTGTATCTGCACATTTACACGTGCATCCAAAGCGCTTCATAGAAAATTGCAATTCTCTGTCATTTTCAATRATGAAAACACAAACCATCGGGTAAAAATCAGTGTAGAAAAAAGTTGAGCATTTGTATTGAGAGAGGAGTGATTCTATATCCTTATACTCCAAGACATCATCGTTTATTTCTCCATTCATTCCATATTTTTGTAGTAAGCCGTTCAATAATCGAGCTCGTCCTCGATCTGACACGACGAGGGCGTCTTTTATTTGCTTAGTATGGAAAAAAACATTGGCCAAAACCTTGTAACACATAACGTAAGCATCAAGAAGTGTGATAGCTTGAAATTTTCGCAACCAAGGGCATCAAACATGGTTTCAAAATATCGTATTGCTTCCCTGAATGAGTTTTCAGCTTCTTTCATCCGCTTGAGTTTTAGATAGGTACGACCTTGTCTAGAATAACTGATAGCTTGTAGGTGTTTGGCATCAACGTGACTTGCAATAGCCAGAGATTCTTGATAACACTGTAAGCTATTTTCGTATTTTTTATCTTGTCGATCACTGCTYTCTTTAAGAAATTCCAAACATGGGTGCCCACAGGAAATAAATCCAGCGAAATCCACCAGCAAAAGGTCGTCATGGGCAAGCAACACTTCGAAAGGTTAGATTGAATAAAAATCTATTACAATAATACGAGCTGGAAGCACGACAATTTCAAACTAGTATTAAATTTTTCCTTTCTGATATTTTGAGAAATTTATTATACAATTCTGATTAGAAAAAAAGAGTTCACCTCGCTTGAATTGATAGCAGTTTTAAAAAGGTAAATCCATCGAAATTGAGCAGCATAAAACGTGATCACTTCAAAGCCATTCATTTTCTTCGGAAAACCTGGGTGTGCCTCAATGATTTTAAAACCATTGATTGTGAATGCTTGATCAAACTCGTGATAAACGAAGGACTTTTCTCGTGACCTCCGTGACGTATATTGCTATTGTTCCCAAACCATGAGGCTCAAATAGACAGCAACATCTTTTTCCGGTCATAACTATCTATATTTGCCATAGAGAAATCATCTCTTCGCATCAATGCATTTAAAACTGTCAGCTAGTCTTTTGAGATGAGTCTTTTACCTACGAAGAACGTTAAACCTTAAAGATTTTGACTTGAAAGTAAATATTACTTTATTTACCTACTAAATTAAAGAGGTATTATCTGAATAACACACTGAATAACACCAATGGTGATCCCAGTAAACTACACCATACAAGAATAACTAATACAGTATGAGGTTTATGCTTTAGCTTTGCTTTATAGTTTATAGCTTTTCCTACGTAATGTTCTTTTTTCTCATCACTGACAGACAAACGACACCGTCTAGTTCCCGCCACGTCTTCTTCAATGTCTAGTGTTTTTTCAGTCTTTCGAACAGCCAGATTTCAGACAAATGAACCTTTTCATTACTAGCTCCACATCCGTGGGCTACTGCTTTAYATGTGAAACCATTTGATGTAAGAATATTCACCCAAACACTCCATGACCAGGACTTGTTTTCAATATTTTTTACAATACTTTCCTCTCGTAAGKGAAACAAATCCTCAACAGGACTAATAGTGTCGTTCCTTGAAATAGATATGAATTTGCGAATTTCATCTTGAAAATCCAAGGCTTCCAGTACGTCTTTCGGTCCAATTAGCTCATATTTACTACATGAATTTTGTTTCACTAGCTTCACATAATCAATGTTTACCGTTGCTTGGCCTGCCATATTCAAATCCTCTTAACAATCCACTAAGTACTGCTACGATTCAGAAGCGCTCGGCAAGAGAGACGGCGAAGAGTGAACTTGGACAAAGCTCCCTCGCAGACTTTATTCTTCCGTAGATGCTCAAAGGGACTGGAGAGGAGTCTTGGTAGGTACTTCACGTATTTTCAAAATGTGTATCATCAAGTCCCAAAAGAATATTCAACGAGAAGTTATCATCCTTTACCGACGCGCATACGGAGCCGGTTTCCAGTATAATTTTGATGAGGCATTTATCGAGAGGTTAATCAAGACGTACGCTATCTGTTTAAAAAGCGTGACGTTGGAAACAACATAAAAGGGTTTAATTAATGTGAAGTGAAACTCCTTAACAGTAATACAGTAACCTATGGAACTAAGCCATCCGTCACGAAGGTTCCAAGCTTTGGAACAGGGCGATATACCCTCAAACAAGAATGAGTAATGCAGTTCGAGGTTTCTGCCTGCCTTGCTTATGTTTTATAGTTTTCGTGGAGGTTCAACAGGGGCCGCGGAGCAACCTAAAAAGTGGGGGCTAAGATTGAGACTACTATGGAAAAAAGATTAGCTAAGATTGGAAAATATAGGAGACTAGTAGGAAAAAAAGGGAAAACGTGGGGAGCTGCAGCCCTTCCCAGACCCCCGGCCGTGACCGCGGTCCCTGTTCAAAGGGCCTTGAGAGGAGTCTAGGTAGGTACTTTATGAAAGTTACACATTGTGTATCATCACCAGGGATCAGGATATTGCGATCTGTCCATAGATCGTGGCGAAGAGAATGGCAAAATAATATTCGGATAGTAAAGGTATCTTTTTGCAATTTCAGTTGATAATCTATGTAAGAATCTTTCAAAGAAAATTGGACTTTTTCGACACATCAGTCCCTACTTAAATAAACCACAGAAGGAAACATATTACAACACGCTCATCAAACCTGCTATCATGTATTGCTCTACTATATGGTCATCATGTAACAGTACAACTATAAATAGGGTTATGAAACTCCAAAAAAGGGCGGCAAGAATTATCTTGAATGTAGATAAATCTTCCCGTTCGATTGACTTGTTCAACGAGCTAAGATGTCTGCCTTTTTACCAAGAATCTTACATTCCGCTGATGAAGTCAGCTCCATCAGTGAGGTTTCACGCTTTTCATTATTTTCAAGTGTTTTGTTTTCCACTGATGAAGTTTATTCGGCCTCTCTTTCACAGAGGGTGAACATTATAGGGTTCCATGGACATTCCGCATGAGTCTTTCTCGGCGGTTACAAGTCTGTACAATAACGAACCCCTCTCGCAGCGACTCAATGTTGAGAGACTTGTAAGGTACACTTGGCCTCCAATGTCCAATCCAATAAATACAGTTTCACTCACCGCGGACATGGGTGTGTGAGACAGTCAACACTCAAGAAAGATAGATCGGTTTTTCTTCGATCAACTACTAYGGTAGAAAGTGGTTCCACTTTCCCTGATTGATAACTTTTATAACGTTTTCACCTGTTGATTTTGGAGTGGCGTTTCAATAAGCAATTTGTTCTGGCTAGGTTGTTCTATGTTTATTTGGGAGTGGTCATTTCTTGGAAATTGCGTACCTTTACCTTGTAAATTATGCGTATTATTTTCAATACATTTAGTTAACTTCATGACCTACCGTCTGCTCCAAGTATCTTACTCAACGGGATCAGTGAGCTATGACGTATTTCCAGGTCCAACTCGGCTAACGAAAAAGCGTAGTTTGAAGTTTGGCCAAAAAAATATTGTCATGTTGACTTGGTTTGTCAGTTTGTCAGTTGTCTAATTATGTAAACCACATTTAGCTCACATGTTTTGCCTTTCTAAAGATGGTGTCTGACAACCACCTTCGATAAACGATACCCCATCATAAATTTGCGTTTTCATGTTGGCTCAATGTTAGTTGTGCCAAAGCTGTGAAACTTTGGTTAAAATTCAGTAGTATTAACAGTTGTTTAGTTACATTATATCAGCTTGTCTTATTCAGCAACGTGTGACTTATTTGATTGGTACGTTTAGATATGACGTCTAGTACAAGTAGGTGTCATATTTCGTGGGATTGTATCTCAGTTTTGAGGCTGAATTCAATTAAAACACCAAATAGACATGAAAAGCTAAGAGAAATCTGAAAACAACTATTTACGAAAAAATGAGCTATATTTGCTCCGAAACTTAGTTTAAAAGTGAGGAATTTTGAAATGCAAAATCATTTAAATTCACAATCTCATTTTCTATAATATGTAGTGTTGATTTGGTTTAAATTATAATGATTTACTGCATACATATAGCTACATATTGCGGTCTAAAAACTAATAATTATACGTGTTGAACTATTGTGCTTGTATTCGCTTCTCGATCTCTAAAATGTTTCAGAGTATCTTCCTTCTTGCTAATGACTGTTTCTTTAATTTAGATCTTGACGCCACAGAATCGGTGCTTTTCGTTGCATTTCTTTATCTATTCTTCGCCCTTTGCTTTATACTTCGCTGCGTTTATTTCCTCTTTAAGTTTTGATAGCTCATAGAACTGAGCCTCTTGGATGAGCAAATCAAACTCTCCAAAATCTTCGGGTAGCAAGAGCTTTCCAGTATGAAGATAATTCAGAATGTGACGGAAAACGACTCCATCCCTATCGAAGAAGAAATTGCCTTGTGCATCGGTGGCAGCTCGCGGCGGTGCGAATAAACGTGTTGTCGGTGTACCTAAGACCGACTCTCGCAAGAGCGAATGTTGTTCGCAGCGATTCAACGTAGACCAAGTAGTAAAGTACACGTGGCCTCCAATGTTCAGTCCAATAGGTTTCTCAATCACCGAGGACATGTGACTTTATATATGTAATACAATCAAAACCGGTTGTTTTTCGAACTTGAACGCTGAGATACGGAATCCCTTTCCCTGCATAAAAAGATTGATAACGTTTCAGCTTTTTTACCTGTTCACGTTTGATTGGCGTTTCCGAATAAGCAATGCATCTCATTGGCTGAATTTTTTCCTGCTTCAGTTCTATGATTTATGTGAGCGCTCATTTCTTGGAAATTGCGTGGCCTATTTTTTTTCTTCTTTTTGCATTTCATTAACTCGATCGACTGTCTGCTCCCAGTATCTTTCAGAACAGGACCAATCACCAATATTACCGAATTTTGGTATCCATTTTGACAGTCAAAAAAGTTCGAAAGAAATCTTTCTTCAATCTTTTAGTGTTTTAACTGTATTTTAGAAATGTATTTTCAAGGATTTTCCTTCACTCATTAAATTACATCGATTGGTCGATGGATCAAAGCCTTGGTGTCTGACAAATAAGATGTCTTCAGAATCCATGCTAAAGAAGGATAAAATAAACCCCTTTAACTGGACTTATATAGATGCATCTTATTTTAAGAAAATCTAGTTATTTTAGTTCACAAGGATATCTTCTTCGTCGCTGACAACACGACTGCCCTAATAACACATAGGTATAAGGGATAGCTGAACTCCGACTTCCGATAAGCTTTCAATAGACTTATGTATAAACAAATGCACATGGCAGCTTTTACAGTCAAAGGACACGAAGCGTGCCCAGCTAGACTGCATTATTCAATTCATAAAAGATTTTTGGTCGTTCCAATCTTCCGAGAACGAAATCAAATTTAAATCCAATCTTGGAAATTTGATTGGATTACTTTTCAGCATTTGTACAAGTTTGTAACTGATAGAAATTTTGTTGAAATTCTTCAATATAAGATTCGAAATAATTTTTGGGATTGAGTGTCTCATTTTTACGGGCCAGTGATTAAGCAGATTTACAAAAATAAATCATGTCTCTCACAATAACTTCAAATCCATCAAAATGTCTAAACACAAATAGATAATTCCGTTATTTTTTTAAATCTCAAATGGTTAAAAAGACTTAAAAATCGTGAATTAACCGTTATACTTGCTGATCAATGTTAGGAATGCGAGCTTGTGACCTTAGCCAGTTTCCCAGAAAACAAGCGTTACGCTAACGCTTCGATTCAAATTGACGCTCTACCTGTTTACTTAGGCTTTTTTACTCGCTCAAAAGTTTATTTGATCAATTAAATCGATAAAAAAGGTGCTGAAAAGGACAAAATTCCATGTTGAGCGTCATTGAGTGGTTTGATATTTGTTCGCAATATCTCAAAAAGCAAAGAATTCCCTAAAGCCTGTGATAAGCCAATGCAATCAGATTTCGAGATTTCATTTGATTTTGAAAATAATTAAGGAATATTAGAAAACGAAGAATGATGCCAAAAATCGAATAATGAACTGAATAATGCATTCTAGATGGGCACGCTTCATGTCCTTTGACTATAAGAAGAAGATTTATTTAGTTTGGTTGCCTACTAAAGTACACATCTGAATATCACAATAAATAACACTAATGATGATCGCAGTAAATTACACCATACAAGAATAACTAATACAGTTTGAGGAGTTTCCCTTTGCTTTATAGTTTCTAGCTTTCGCGATACGTATTAAATGTTCAAGAAATCTTTTCTCTAGCATCATTTATCTTCTTCAAGCATGGCAACATCTGAGTCGTTTTTTCTTTCAAACAGCCAGATTTCAGACTCATTGCCTCCATCACGACCATGGGCTACTGATTTACATGTGAAACCATTTGATGTAAGAACCTTCACCCAAGCACTCCATGTCCAGGAGCCATAAGTGCCGCCCTGATTCACATCTGTCACTGTGACGATACACTCTTCTGAAAAGTTTTCAATTTGTTTACGACGGCCATCGCTATCTATGGTATAGCGTATTGAACATGTGTCGATGTAGATGCTTATTCCACTACACCGGACATCATCTTTAAAAATAGGTTCTAACACATCTCTCGGTCCAATTAGCTGATAGTCCTTCGACCCATCTTTGCGGGGTTTCACGACTAGCTTCAGATAATCAACGTTGGCGACTGCTTGTTCTGCCATATCGAAATCTTAACAATCTACTAAGTACTGCTTGTTCTTAAGAGCAAGAGACGACGATGAGTGAACTAAAACAGCTTCATCGCAGACTATATTCTTCCGCAGAGGCTCAGGGGGACTGGAAGGGAGTGAAGGATACACTTCATGCCATATATGGTGCACTTTGTTTACATTGGACTTGCCACAAGTCGTACTCGCTGTCTATGTAATGTTTAATAAACGAGCAGGAGTGTTTTATCGGGTATAAAACACGAGGCGCAGCCGAGTGGTTTTAGACCCGATAAAACACGATCTGCGAGATTATTGA